AAACGACAACATAAGATACGACAACAAGGAAAACATGAAACGACAAGATAAGATACGACAACAAGGAAAACATGAAACGACAACATAAGATACGACAACAAGGAAAACATGAAACGACAAAATAAGATACGACAACAAGGAAAACATGAAACGACAACATAAGATACGACAACAAGGAAAACATGAAACGATAACATAAGATACGACAACAAGGAAAACATGAAACGACAACATAAGATACGACAACAAGGAAAACATGAAACGACAACATAAGATACGACAACAAGGAAAACATGAAACGACAAAATAAGATACGACAACAAGGAAAACATGAAACGACAACATAAGATACGACAACAAGATAAGACTGGAATCGACAACATAAAATAAGACAAGGAAAACTTACTGCAACGAAAGGTCATAAACTAGAGATGGCTGTATGACGTTCTGTCATGTCACAATTTGCTGAGAACAAAACAAGTAGGCATTTCCAACATCCAGGATGGGACAAATGTTTATATCATACCATATATTTCATATCAACCATTAATAAAGATGTGATATTTTGTAGAAAAAAAAAGTTTCCTTAATGCGATTTTAATATTCAACATAGTTTACTAACAAGATAGGACATGGTTGAAAATATAACACTTAGGTGTCGAATAAATCAATATACACCATGTACTATAGCTGTGTCTAGTTTGTTACAGTTTATAACTGACGTTTTAAAGAACACGTCCCATTCACACGATAATATATTAATCTACTTTACACATGTATACGTCTATGTAAATTGTTTACTTCAATCGATTGTGATAAACAATATATACCGATATGTCATTTTGAAATAAGACCCATTTTTTCAAAAAGACATATATAAGATTCTCCGCCATTGTTAACGAGTTTAAATTTGATGATATGGGAAGCATTAAGATGACAAAGAATATATCGCAGCCTATATAATCGATCTCTATATATACCCCTCACGTTTGGGTTGACTTTTTAATGACAGCTTTCCTTTATCCGCCTTGGATTAGAAAACTTCAAGTATTGTTTGTCATGGGTCACCACACCGCCTTGACGACATGTAAACAAAACTGCGAGTTACATTACACACACGTTGATAAAACACAGGTAGATATAGACACGGGGAAGAAGTAGAGTCTATTGATTTCTGTGAGAAATACAATAACGACCATTTATAACCCATCATATGCTTGCATTATGTATCAGAGAAAAGTTACATTAGATTAGCACTGTCTCCCAGATCTGTAACAAGGGAGTTAACGAATATTATCCGATGCCTTTCGCAGTCTGTAGAGACTATCAATATCATTTTTCCGTTGATATACCTGTACGTGTAATTAAAAAGGCGCTGAGCTCTACGGTCTTCACAGTACTGCTAGGAACTAGAACATTGATTTCAATCGATTTGATGGCACTAAGTATTTCGTAATTCAATGAATGCGCATGTCTGTTTATTTGTCGTTCAATAACTGATTAGTTCCATACAAACTGGAATTGAGGACACTGTGTCTATATGGATCTATGTGTAACCCGTATCTGGCCCCTTACGAACATCAAATAACTCAATAATACACAGTTAGTACGAGGTTTTAAATACCACGAGACTTTGTAAATTTTAATGCTGTATTTACCTGACGAGGAGCTATCATGTAATTGTATTTATAGATGTGTATTAGTGTACTCTGTAGTGTAGGATACTAACAATTTACATAGTCATGACCGAAACCCGTGTCGCCATGATGGAAGGACAGAGTCAATCAGTGGTTCAGACATGTATCCAGTTAGAAGCAGTGGTAACCTTCGTTCCTTGATTAATAAGAATGTATACAAGGAGGACGGAGAGGGATCAGGCTGTTCCGGTGTTTAGGATCGATAACTAACAGAGGACATTGTGTACATATCGTGTACAGTGTAAGTATTTCTGTTAAGGAATAAGACAATACGCGGAACTGTTCTATGCAGAATAAACCACTCATGAAGCCATACAAAATGTCACCAGGAGTGTTGTTTTCTGTGTCCATCAGATTCAATATACCCGATGCTGGTATTCAAAATATCAGGAGGTCTGACAGACGCGCGTAATGGTATTTCGGAAGAGCACAAAAGAAGTAGAAGAACAGACGATGAAAAAAGTAAAAGTGAGACCAGCAGTAACTGATGACGTATTTTTAGAACGGGATAAACGTCAGAGGGAGCGGGAGAATCGGCAAGCCTTATATACAACAGTGTTTTTGGGGGTCATCTCTATATTCTTATTTGGGTTAAGTATTTCCCTTCTTGTTATCGGTGTTCGCAACAACTTGGAGGATTTGTTGATCCTTGGATCAATATTCCTAGTGGCCGGAGTTGGATTTATAATTTTATTATTTGTGCTTGTTTGTAAACATATGACCAACAGTATATCTCGGTGGATAAATCGAGTGTCTCCAGAAAATGAAGACGAAAAAGATAAAAGCGATGTTGTTATCACCAAAGAGGATATTGAAAAGCAGAGAAAACCTACAGCAATCCAGCTGTATGGCGAAGATAAAATTATACATGTGCCGAACCCTAAGGAGTTATCAGACCCTGAAATCCCTCACCCTCCGATGGTGTGTTATCCAAATACTGCGGATGACCAGAGTGTACCAGTGATACAATTACCCCTTAAAGACACAACCGTAAGTGAGTCACATGAAACTTCTGTCGCCTGATGGTGTTCTCAGTTGGGAATCTACTATTAGATGCGGATGCTGGTATTATTCATTTATGGTACAAAGTGCTAACTACTGTATCTATGACTGTGGCCAAAAAGAGTCTTTTTGTGTCTTATGTTTTTTATATCTCTATATTGACCTTACAAGTACAAGTGTATCAATAGGTATGAAAATACATTATCAAAATTATCTAACAAAAGTGCCAACGAGAAAAATAGGTTCCTTTACGCAAGGTTTAAATTTTGCTTGCGGACACGTATTTTATTATTTCAATACGTTTTCGTGTGTGTAGCATATATGTCCTGGTGTAAATGACATCAAAGTTTAATGCAAATGTCATATCAATTCGTGTTATCGCTTTAAACATTGGAAATATCTGTACGTATTGTGTTACATTTAACAAAGACTATATACACTAAGGAACCAAGTATTGTAATGATAGACATTATATGTAGCAGATTTTTATAATTATCTTGATCAAGTTTAAACGTAATGCATATCTAGTTAGTGAAAGTGTGATATCAGTCTTATTTACACAATTGTAAAATGTCTGTTACGAATGCCATGAAATGTATTGTCTCATAACAATATCTTAATCTCAATATTCGCATAATATTAACGTAGTTTGGAGAATTGTTGCAGATTTAATGCTCTGCATATCTTATATCTTATGTAGGTCGAATAATGTATCTATTTACGCGAGAATAACATTTTTACTTCTACATAGAACGATGTATCTTATGTAGGTCGGGTAGTATAACTATTTACACCTACATACCATTTTTACTATCATAACTGAAAATACTCTGTTTTTTCATATTGGTTTATACTCAGTATAGTTCAAATGTCTTGATAAAGCAATAATTGTACTTTCAGTAAGCAACATCATTACTTCTATATTGACATGTCCTGATGATCTTTATTTTATTAGTTTCCTCTTTTTTAAATCATTATAATTGTTTACTGTTGTTATAGGTTTGAAGAGCTTTTTTATTATTCGTTTCCATCGTCATAATATTTAAACGCATATTGATAAATCCATAGCTATTTTAAAATGCCATTAATAATATGTGAGTAAACTATAACAAGTTTGTTACTGTGTAACATCTCTGGTATCGACATGCTAGGATTATGTATTGAACGGTATTTAAATGGTTCTCTTAAGCCACTCATAGAATTCACGTTTACTTGATTTCATAAAATCAGCAAAAATTCATTCCCCCTTCGGTTTATTTAAGCACTGGTTAACCGCGAAATTATGGCGCGTCGAAAATAGTGAGATTTACAATAAATGATGATAATGCCTCATTACAGGTATTATGTACTAGATGAAGTGTTACTTACTATACTTACTATGTTTTACGAAAAGTATTAAGATTTAATCTTTAAAAGACTGGCAGAGTGTTCAGTTGTGCATGTTTGTAAGCTTGTGCATTTGAAAGGTTGTATAGTTGATTGTTTGTTCGAGATAAGGGTTGCATTTTCTGTAGCACAATTTCCATGTGTGTGAGAGAGAAAATGTACTGATAAAAGTTGATTTAGTAAACTGTTTTGATATATAATAAAACCCTGAGAGGGCTGATACGTATTGTGTTTTTACTATCCAGGGATCGTAAATGTAAATTACCTGTTGGAAGTTGATCTAATTATACCTCTGTTTTCCACAGAATGTTTCACATGAGCTGTAACCGTAATGTTAAAAACCAAGGTACTGGTCATTGATTTCATTTCTGTGACACTATCGGCATGTCTCCCAATTTCGTATATAGAAGTCGTCTACCGACTTGAGTTTTTAAACAAATCATTAGTATGTATTATCTAGTCAATGTTTAACTTGGACAGCCATGACTTTCATTATTTTCCTTATAAAGAAAGCAGCAGTGGTGATCAAGTTACTCCTTTAAACAAGTCTTTACCACAATAGGAAGAATGAGATACAATGGCAAAAATTCTATACAAAAATTCACTGAGCGACAGTGTAAATTGCAAAAAGTACAAGATGTTTGTTTAATATATATAATGACCCATGATATACAATGTATTTACAAAAATTGTTGATGTACCAAAGATTGACAATTTTATATCTATGGACAATTGTGAAAATTAGGGTGATATATTAATGTATGTAACATCAACAGTATAAATTTTTTTTTAAAAACCTCTTTGCTACGATCGCAGTAAAATGTATAGTGTTCTTGAACTCCACATATCTGTCATTAATGGGCAACCATGCACATGTATGTGAAATATGCGGACATATATAATACACGACCATGATCACATTTTATTGATGGATTTATCGTCAGAAACCAGTGGATCAGTCTCAGATCCATTCCTTTCTGGTGATGTCTTACCCTTCCGTAGCCGTCTGTTTATGTTGCATTCCTAGAAGATATAAATAAATAAATAAATTATTTAAAATCAAAATTAGCATATGACGTAAATAGACAAGCTTATTATAATACTACTGTGTCTTTAAAAAATAACACTTTTGTTGGTCAACTATAATTATCACTTGTGTATTTTTGTACAGTTTCGTCACGTTCTGATAAAAGCCGAATATGTATATAAGATATCATTCACGATCTATAATATAATATACCCTGCATATTACGTTAATGATATATCACTTTCTCTCACATTACAAATAGCTAACCTAAAATACTATGTCCTTAAACACTGTATATTTATCATTATTCTCCCTTTTCCTTGATTTGAAAAGAATTCCTTATACCTGAAACTGCTATGCAATCATTATCAGAAGTGGCATTGGGTACTGAACTGCTTTCGTTTGACATTCATCGTGGCAACGTGCTTTTTTTGTTTTTTTGTTTTTTTTGTTTTTTTTTTTTTACTAATTTTCGTTTTATGCAGTTTGCATTCGTAATGCCCGCAGTTTAATGGACATATCTATCATTTTAAATTTTTGTCTTATGCGAAAAGGCATACTCAGTTCGTTTACATGTATTTGCAATATCTCTAAGCCGTTGGCATTTCATGAGCTAAACACCGTGGTTACAGTTCTCCCTCCCGCTATTTCTCTTACTTTATTTGTAAACGCTATATTTGAGTTTGACATTTAGCGCACGACATAGCGAGATCATTTTGCAACCTTGCTACGGAGCTGTCGCAGACAGCTAAACCATACTGATTAATATAAACATCATGTTAATTTATACCCTGTCTTGAATTTCTTCACTGCTTATCTTATTTGCAATTTTGGATTGGGATACTAAATCGTTTCAAGGTTCGTGTAAAGGATGGAAAGCCACTTGTTGCATGTAGCAAACACAGTTGATAATTGTGAAGCAGGCTTTCTCGTGACATTGGAATGAAGAATAGCTCTGGAGGATCTTGTTGATTATTCCATAAGTGAAGCCTTGAATATTAATTAAATGTATTTGACGGATACTCAAGATGCAGGCTTACATGCTGACTCATGATTGTATGTCAGAATAATACCGGGACCGAGACCCTAAAGACACTAACTGTCTAATGCCAGGTTATAGCTGCGACAGGAGATGGACTTACCGATCGAATGTCGGATACATTCATGAATACCGCACTTATGAACGACACTGCACTGAGACAGGCGAACATCAGCAACATGTAACGGTACTTCTGGAGTCGAACGTCAACGTCTTTCCTGATGACCAAATCAGATCATTCACACAATTAACGGTGTCATAGATGATATACGGGAAATTCTGTTTTAGGCCCATTAATTCGATAAAATAACATTTCACTAGTTACATTGGCGTTTGTGATAATCAAACATCAAATTATGACATTCAAAGAACAAGAACCTTACATATAAAAATGCCACATTAAGAGAAAAATGGAAGCATTATTATCTACGAATAAAAGAAGGATGAAATTCGGAACAACAAAATGATATCCGAAACTCTAACATTCATTTAAAATGCGTATTTTCAAAATTGAGCCTATATAGGAAAAAACAAGATATTGATAAAAGTTGAAATAGTAATCCAACTTACTCCTCTTCGTGTCCCAGTATCGTGCCCACAACGAGAGCAGACAGTCCCATGCCTATCCCCATACTACTAGAGGCCAGACCAGCTGCTGTTCCATAGGAGGTCGGAGGAATCATAGACATCATAACTTGCCACAATATTATCTACAAACAAAGGGATTTCCTATTACACTTGTTTCGTATTATTTTTAAATTATCCCCTATCTTAAACAAGAATTACCTCTCTTTTTACGTTTTGATATTTCGCTCCTATCATCACCGAAGAGTTTCAATGTTTACTATTATTGAAAAGGCAGCTAATTTTCGGGTGTTTAATTCTAAACTATTTTGGAGAATGAAATACAATAAAACCGCGAATAAAGGATTAATTTAAAATTCAAATTATTTTAAAAAATAAATGTCCATATCATGATTTTCGCATACGTTTTGCATCAAGATTTTCATAAAAACCGCAAAAGTTTTAGCCAACGAAAAACAACTTTTTCTGTGAGAGTACTTTTTCATAAAGTTATATTCATGAGTAATATTTTCGGTAGTGTCTTTATTATAATATCTAAAGATAAAGCTCATCACAAGAATATTTATCAATATAAAGATCTGTATTCTACGTCAACTTACAGTCCTATACATAAAATACAACAATGATTGATTCAATGTCATCTACATCCAACGGTCTTGTTTTACATCAATGAATAATTATGTTTGAAATTTATTTCTAGATATATTTCTAGGGAACATAATTCTAAATACGAAGGTGACAGCGTAACAGAAAATTAAAGAGCGTCAGCATATTTTAGTAGTTGACAATGACCACGATATGTTAGAGAGTAGCCGTCATGGCAGGTCTACTGTCGATTTATACCCTAATTCTGCTTATATATAGTCAGCTCCCATTGTATGACCTATAAATTCAGGTTACTATTTCATGTAGACAAGTACGTTATCAAACGAATAATAACAATTATAATAAAATTTCACATTATCCAGATTTAATCAGAACAATTATAATAAAAGTTTGAATTATCCAGATCTAATCAGAACAATTATAATAAAAGTTTGAATTATCCAGATCTAATCAGAACAATTATAATAAAAGTTTGAATTATCCAGATCTAATCGGGACAATTATAATAAAAGTTTGAATTATCCAGATCTAATAGGAACAATTATAATAAAAGTTTGAATTATCCAGATCTAATCGGAACAATTATAATAAAAGTTTGAATTATCCAGATCTAATCCGAACAATTAAAATAAAAGTTTGAATTATCCAGATCTAATCCGAACAATTAAAATAAAAGTTTGAATTATCCAGATCTAATCGGGACAATTATAATAAAAGTTTGAATTATCCAGATCTAATCAGAACAATTATAATAAAAGTTTGAATTATCCAGATCTGATCAGAACAATTATATTAAAAGTTTGAATTATCCAGATCTAATCCGAACAATTATAATAAAAGTTTGAATTATCCAGATCTAATCAGAACAATTATAATAAAGGTTTGAATTATCCAGATCTGATCAGAACAATTATATTAAAAGTTTGAATTATCCAGATCTAATCCGAACAATTATAATAAAAGTTTGAATTATCCAGATCTAATCGGGACAATTATAATAAAAGTTTGAATTATCCAGATCTAATCAGAACAATTATATTAAAAGTTTGAATTATCCAGATCTAATCGGGACAATTATAATAAAAGTTTGAATTATCCAGATCTAATCGGGACAATTATAATAAAAGTTTGAATTATCCAGATCTAATCAGAACAATTATATTAAAAGTTTGAATTATCCAGATCTAATCGGGACAATTATAATAAAAGTTTGAATTATCCAGATCTGATCAGAACAATTATAATAAAAGTTTGAATTATCCAGATCTAATCCGAACAATTATAATAAAGGTTTGAATTATCCAGATCTGATCAGAACAATTATATTAAAAGTTTGAATTATCCAGATCTAATCGGGACAATTATAATAAAAGTTTGAATTATCCAGATCTAATCAGAACAATTATATTAAAAGTTTGAATTATCCAGATCTAATCGGGACAATTATAATAAAAGTTTGAATTATCCAGATCTAATCCGAACAATTATAATAAAAGTTTGAATTATCCAGATCTAATCCGAACAATTATAATAAAAGTTTGAATTATCCAGATCTAATGCGAACAATTATAATAAAAGTTTGAATTATCCAGATCTAATGCGAACAATTATAATAAAAGTTTGAATTATCCAGATCTAATCCGAACAATTATAATAAAAGTTTGAATTATCCAGATCTAATCGGGACAATTATAATAAAAGTTTGAATTATCCAGATCTAATCAGAACAATTATAATAGAAGTTTGAATTATCCAGATCTAATCAGAACAATTATAATAAAAGTTTGAATTATCCAGATCTAATCGGGAACAATTATAATAAAAGTTTGAATTATCCAGATCTAATCCGAACAATTATAATAAAAGTTTGAATTATCCAGATCTAATCAGAACAATTATAATAAAGGTTTGAATTATCCAGATCTAATCCGAACAATTATAATAAAAGTTTGAATTATCCAGATCTAATCAGAACAATTATAATAGAAGTTTGAATTATCCAGATCTAATCGGGACAATTATAATAAAAGTTTGAATTATCCAGATCTAATCAGAACAATTATATTAAAAGTTTGAATTATCCAGATCTAATCGGGACAATTATAATAAAAGTTTGAATTATCCAGATCTGATCAGAACAATTATAATAAAAGTTTGAATTATCCAGATATAATCAGAACAATTATAATAAAAGTTTGAATTATCCAGATCTAATCGGGACAATTATAATAAAAGTTTGAATTATCCAGATCTAATCAGAACAATTATAATAAAAGTTTGAATTATCCAGATCTAATCGGGACAATTATAATAAAAGTTTGAATTATCCAGATCTAATCCGAACAATTATAATAGAAGTTTGAATTATCCAGATCTAATCCGAACAATTATAATAAAAGTTTGAATTATCCAGATCTAATGCGAACAATTATAATAAATGTTTGAATTATCCAGATCTAATCGGGACAATTATAATAAAAGTTTGAATTATCCAGATCTAATGCGAACAATTATAATAAAAGTTTGAATTATCCAGATCTAATCGGGACAATTATAATAAAAGTTTGAATTATCGGGACAATTATAATAAAAGTTTGAATTAGATCTGATCAGAACAATTATAATAAAAGTTTGAATTATCCAGATTTAATCAGAACAATTATAATAAAAGTTTGAATTATCCAGATCTAATGCGAACAATTATAATAAATGTTTGAATTATCCAGATCTAATGCGAACAATTATAATAAATGTTTGAATTATCCAGATCTAATCCGAACAATTATAATAAAGGTTTGAATTATCCAGATCTAATCGGGACAATTATAATAAAAGTTTGAATTATCCAGATATAATCGGGACAATTATAATAAAAGTTTGAATTATCCAGATCTAATCAAAACAATTATAATAAAAGTTTGAATTATCCAGATCTAATCAGAGCAACATGTTGATTCCAATTTACATAGCGATTGTAAACGCTGCACTTTATTTTTTAATTCCTAAGGTTCAATCATCTCCTGATCTACATACAGGAATAAAAACAAACAGCAAAAATATGTATTTTGCAAACATCATTTCATGTGTATTGCGGGAAAAAATCAATGTGCTGGGTATCACGTTGAGAAAGATAATTGATAATTGCATTTTATTCTATCAGAGTTATGTCCCTTTAAACAATTTTAAACCAGAATGAGGTGCTAATTTTTGCTAACACAACCGACTGTAACTCATTTCACTGATTAATGAATATATAAATTATATCTTAGAACTGATCTTACAGGTCAACACATCACTATCTAAGTTAGTAAAAGTAAAAGTATTTTCCTGAAATATTAATTCTTAGCAGTTCTTTATTATGAATGTGTATTCTGTACAATAAATAGTAAAGAATACAAGGTTCACATCAGTACAAATTCATTTAAATAGTCGATTGGTAACTGATACATTACATACATACAAGGTAAGGGAGACTTTACCGCATTACAGTTAAACGTCACTCCTATCCATATGGACATAACTAGTGGCGACACCTGGGACACATAAGCGAGCGTCAGATACGCTGGTATGGTCAGTAAGGCTGCCGTCATTCCTACAATTCCATGGCAGTCCAGCTTCTCCTGCAGGCAAGAAATGGACATCAGAGCATGTCAACAATGACAAGATGCGCCACTGAAGTCTTTAACAGTTATATAACATCAAATGTTCTTAATCTAAATTTTGAGAATTTTTCCGACCACTTTTTTATGTCTCAATCCTATGTTTCAAAATTTCAATAAACATTTAGAGTCACTACCGGGTCCAAGAAAGAATGAACTAGCTTTATATGCAATTAAATTTTTTAACGTATAACATTACATTTTATGTGTATATTTGTGTAAAATGTAAATTAAGCATACAGTATATACGACCAGAGGAGTTTGTATAATTCAGAGCTTACATGTTAAAACTCCTATTTAATATCATCTGTATTTGCTTCACTGTTTTTCATCATTACCCAAATTTGTAACAGTCTGTATTTGTGTTGTACGCTTTAGTCTCAAATAACTATGTAACTTAGTTGACAATGGGAACTTCCAAAGGTCGTATCAAAAGCCAGATTCTAGTTTCGTAATACTGTATAGCATGCCAATGAGAAAACTTGACTGTACAGGTAATATACTGCTTGAGAAAGTACTGATAAAATGAAAGAAAGACTGCTCAGTAAAATAAGATATCCGAACTTTCAATTGCCACATCATAGATAATGCCACGCTTCAGAATTGTACTTAAAATTGTTCTTAAACTATTCGATTTGTGAAAACTACAAAATTGAACGAATTATGGGGCTAATACACCTCATCATTTCATTCTTACTTTTCTTTCGATCACTTTGGATGTTCCTCATTCGCCTTTCAGGTTTAAAATTTGACCTTTTGATTATTATTTACTGTATCTAACCCTAAGATTGTATCAAAAGGTGTCATTCACTAGTGTGTTTTTTGTACAATGTAGACTGATGTCAGAAAAAGGATACTTCTAAATATGAACATAAGATATGCCTAGTATTCTGGTATGCAGAATTAAAATTTGACAGGTGTTCATATTCTAGAAATTATCGATAGCATGATTATAGGGACACCACGCGCGTTAATATCTATTACCATTATTTTGCCAAGTATCGGAGCCAACAACGACACATCGTACACGGCACCATTGATGTATGAGGCATCAGTCTTCGAGTAACCATAACGGTCCTGGAAAAACTTTCTACAAAAAATCATTAATGCTAGCTTTAAATACATCCATAAAACAAACAATTGATAATAATTTGAATAGATATCTTTGATCATGATCAAATATGGCATTATAATTCAAGGGTGTTATTTTCATGAAACAACACTTTCAAAGACCGGAACTCACGTTGCATTCGAGACAAAGGGAATGACAGAACTATAAAAACAGGTCAGCATCACGATCAGATACCAGTAGGAAGATGGAAAACTCTTTAGATCTGCAAGTCTCTGTAAACAGTTAAAATACGGATAATAATGCAAGATTGCAACTAAAAATAAGGATTTTGTGCTTTAACTCTCTGTAAATAGCAAACGTATGTTTCATCGATAATCGCCATTCTGCAACCTTATCAGATACATTTATGTCTCCATACGTTTCATTCAGTACAATGTCTTTTCATTTTGCACTCTTTAGGATAGAGTTTAATGTTATCCTTGTTGTACACATTCATACATTTTTTTCTTTTTGATTTATTTTTATGGAATCATGCTTTCCCTTACAGAAACTAAGTGTACAGATTCACATGTAATGATAATCTTAGCACCCTCTTTAGAAGTAAACCAGCAAAGACCATACTGACATATAAATAGAATCTTAATTAACATTAAAATTCAATGAAGCTGGGAATATATAAGAAAAAAAATTAACATGAACATTTTTCTGTATTTTCTGTGTTATCTTGTTATTAAGATGTATTTTTTGAGCTAGCTTTTTCAGAATGCTTGCTGTTTTATTATGAACCCATGAAAGTCTGAATTGTTATACCCACTATTGGCTTAGATTCCATCTGTTTGCGCGCCTCCTCGTCCAGTTGTTTGGTTCCAATCCAGTCAAGGACGGCCAGACAGATACCAGCTATCAAACCGGTACAACAGACGAACACACCTATTTCAAAAGTATGTTATTATCATTACAGTGTGACGTGTCTTACCTATTGATATCTTGCGTATACACGGATGATGCTTAAATACAAAGAGTCCGTACGGAATGAATGTATATAAACGTCTATTGTTATAGGTAACAATATTTGTTGGTTGAATTTACATAGGTTTCCAAATATGACCTTTGTTTTTTAACGTACACGATATGAACTTAGTGACATGATATTATGGGATAAATTTGAGCCTTTCTTCATACAGAAGTTCTCAAGATATGGTATTGTTTCAGAATGTGGAGCGACGGAACGAGCAAACAGACGGACATGGGTAAAATATTTGCATGCCATAAAATGCTTGGTATGAAAACAATTTGATTATTATTAACGTCAAAATAATTTGATTTTGCCATAAGTTAAAACGCGAGATAAGAGTTTGATATATATCGATGGCACTATTAAATTATTACTTACCTATCCACAGACTCCAGGGTAGTCCGAACCACTGCGCCATGTTAGCGGTGAGAAAGAAGTTGAGGACGTTACCAGACCTAATAGTGAAGATGAGGAAACTAACAGGTAACACACTGTTGTCTCTAAACCAGAAGGATACCACCCGATTCTGTAAAACTTGAAAAGAACTAGACATTAGAATTGCAACATGTAGTACTTTGAGAATAATACAAGTGTTCCGGAAGAGGAAGCATTTTCTGCTTCACCGACAACCCCAGCAAATACAAGCCAACTCAGGTAATGTTATGATCTAAAAAAATAAAGAAATCAAATAAAATAGGTTAGTAATAATGAAATACCATGCATATCGAACATGGCAATTTTTTATCGGATGCAAAAAAATTGACCCCAGATGGGATTATTGTATCAATGATAGTTTGCCAACATGTCGGTTTATGCCAAGGAAAGTGTGACAGCGTCTCTTGTTTCATCGTATATATACCTCTTCCAGGTCCTGTGCCAAAGCCGAGTGTCATTCTGCCAATAAGCATAAGAGGAAACATATAGGAGGAACCTCTAACGGCCGGTGAGCCAGCCAGGGCGAACAGCACCATACCCGCGGAGAATATCGCTGGGATTAACACGGCAGAGGCTGTAAGTAAAGCGAAATGATGGAATCAGTATTGTGTAACTATATATAGAAAGAAAAACCTCACATGTCACAGTTTCATACATTGTCCCTGTTATTGGGTTTACCCTACCTCTGTTTCCTATCTTGTCTATGAAGTACCCTCCTGGTATCGAGACAGCCGCCGACCTGAAAAATGCAAACTTCCAAATTAAGGAACTACTTATCCAGAAAATATTACTTATGAAGATACGAAACGGCGTGTCTCATGGAGTCTAACCTATAACTACATATTATTAGCCTTAAACTAAACGGAACTTCTACTAGCAACGCCAGTAACCGCCGCTGGAACGACAACGTCTTCAGGAAAGGAAGGACTGCGGATGTTGTTGACGTACAAACGCGATTTCATATTTTGCCCTAGTTTTATTGACTTTGGGTTTGGGTTATGATTGTGTTGACATTTATGTATTGTCTTGTTGTTGTTTTTTTAATGGTACCTGTTTTAAAATGTACAATACTCATGCAAAAATGAATAGTTGTCAATGGTCAATATCAGAAACTTGTACTAACTTTGTATTGAGAGACAACAAAATACTAATTATACTGAAATTGTCATTCAGACTCAACGTTGATAAAAGGAGGATAGAATATGATCGAAAGACAACTGTACACGAAGACAATTCAAGAGATTAAAGGGGGATGAATAAGCATCTTCTAGTTCATTAGCAGCACCAGTCATGTGTTAAAGGAGTACAAAGTTAACAACAAAGAAATCAACAGGCGTACTAAGGAGTATTTAACATACCTCACTTCATACCGAAACAGAGACCACGATGTCACTACTGCAATGAAGATATTGGTACTTGCTTATGTTCATGAAAACTATTGCTCCGCAGTTACAGAATACTTACGTCCATGACAGGACAGAAAATAAGAGGTTGTATTTCTGTGGTCCCAGGCCTAGACATTCTTCACAACAAGTCACATTGGCAGGCTCAGAGGAGTTGTATTGTGTGCAGTTAGAAACCTGAACATGACATGGAACAATACTAAATTCATAGAACATAACTTTTTTTACTGACAAAAATCTATCGTCTGACATTATTAGATACATTCATCATCAACATCATAAATGGACCCACCAACAGTCACAAAAATTGAAACTGAAGTATCCTTCCGAAAGAGTTGACAAATTAGCATCACGAAGGCAGGAATTAAAGTAAAATATTGCCTACGATTAGAAAACTATGATAGATAAGCAGTAATTGATGTTTCCTTACTCCTGATCCCTGGATATCGGCCTGAAGAGCACTGGGTACGCCGATATTGTAGTAACATCCTAAAGCCAGGAGACAGTCACACACCAGGATAAGATAACGCCACCTCCCTTACAGATAGACAGTTAAGAATTAATCTATTGAAAAACGTTCTGGTACTTTGATTACAGCATAAATCTTTAATATAAGGAAATGTAAATAAAAGCTGACACTTTGTTTTACATTTCACAATAACAGCTTATCCCGACGTCATTAGTAAATCATTGATTTAAACTTCATTTCAAAATATATATAAATAAATACATGAGTTTATGTATATGCGTGTATATATATGTATAAGTGCATTTGGTGGCAAATGATATATGAATATTTGCAACAACAGCTAAGAGAAATGTCTAATATTCCCTTTGATTACCTTCAGTTCTATTAACCTGAACACTTTCAGCTTTCTTTATGGCGGTCATCTAATGCAATAATTTTGTATCATGAGTATGATAGAATGATACATCTCAAAATGATGTTGGTATAACAAGATTTATAGGATTCTAGGTTATATAAGTTTATCGACATACGTCCTCAACACTACTTACATTCATGTATTTTCATATCACCGTTCTTAGGTCCTTCGTCATGGATTATTATAATCTTTCCTGCGAACAAAATCGACGTATCGATAATTATAATTGTCTTAATCGACGCGAAAATTATCCGTATCAAGTTTTCAAACAAGAGCTTCTTCCTTGGTCTCAGAGGTTATATTTCTCAAGAAATAATTTTGTAAATCAGTCCTGCAAATCTGCCAAAAGTCATCTATGCCTTGATATGTACGAAGAAAATTATGTCTACTTTGTTCTCCTGACAGAGTTTGCGTTGATGGGGTAAGAAAACTTACCAGTAAGCTTGGTTTGAAGAAGACAAATATATGAGGTCTCGTTCCGATCTGAACAGTTGTCTTTACAGTTGTTAACTATAACGATCGTATACAAGTTCCGTTTTGTTATGAATTAATATATGTAGGAAAATTCAGATATGAATATGTATAGGAAAATCCTGCAGCAACATCTAGGATTAAACCTAAGTATCCAGGTATGATTCTGAAGACTGTGACACTGTTATAAAACTGTTTACTTCTCAGAATTAATCATTGGCAGTTTAGTGATAACCAACGGTCTATTAAAATACCGTTAATGTCTTGTCATACAATTAAGTTTTTCCTCAAAAATATCCCATCATGAACTCTCTTAAGGATTTTCGAACTATTGTTTAAAGGAAGATGTATAGTGTGGTAAAAGGTTATGTTTTCCAATTACCCACTGAATAAGATCCATAACGCTATGTATTTTTCTGAAGAAATTTGCTTTAAATTATCTACAATTTGCACGAAAACGACATCAATGTCTAAACAAGTAATTTCGTTTTTCTGGTATTGTTTAAGTAGTTTTCCAATATCAGCTCCATGAATACTCTAATGACTTCTTGTACGGCAGTGTTTGATAGGTAACTATATATAGATGTGAGATATGACTGCTGGACGTAGCACATACTGCAGGCAATATGTATATCTGTAATTCATATCTTATAGAAGTAACAAGGTAGATGTTGAACGGAAAGGAACATCACGAGTTGTAATATACAAAGAAACCTAAGCTAAAGTAACCTACCTCTGTGATACAATTTCAGAATCGTTTGCCGATGGGTTCATCAATAAGTGTTTATCTTTCAATCCATTTAAAAGTTATTTCTGTTCTGTCATCTCACTGGTCTGATAGAAACTGTACCACCATCCATGTTACAGTGTAGTTTACGGAGATATGTGTCTCGCCACCTGGGTTAACAATCAGTATCTTTATCTCGTCTTCAACCCTATATATATAACGTTATCTATCTAAAAATAAACAGCGAGTGATCGGCATATGTAAAACACTGCATCCAGCATATAAAATAATTGAAATTATCAAAATTAACCATTGTTTTGTTTAAAGCATTGCAAGTCTAGAAGTAACTTTGGATACACATTGTATTGAGAAAGTCGTCTTTTTCTGGTGATACCGTAATATGTTATCGTGTCCCCGATACCCATCAATTTTTATACAAACAAGGTTATACGCTTTGTCTTTCACATAGAATGCAATATATTAAGTTGTTTTAGTTGTTATGTAATGTTGCCCCCGTATCTCAGTATTGCGGAATTCGATGTGTAAACAGTGAAATCGTGTATCTTGAACATGTTCTGTTTCCTTAACATGTTTGTGTTTGACAAATTAGTAAACATTGACGCTATGGGCTGACTTTCATTTTCTCAATGTTTTTGATTTGATGGGTACCTCAATGGATAACGGAAACAGTTATCTAGGACGATTTATAATAATATTGATTATATACGTTACAGTACCTTAAACACGCATTATGAGCTAAAATTTGATAAAACCAATAAGAAAGAAAAATAAATATTGCATCAGGAACCATTTTATTTGTTTGTTTTTTTCATATAAATATATATTGTAAAACATATCAACAGACACAAAGCACATAAAACAATAAATAATTAAGTGCTTACTTAACGCGTCACATGGCAGTCAGTTAGAGAGTAAATGAGATTCATATGGAAAGGTGGCATTGCTACATTTCATCGTACAGGCGAGTAAGGCATCATCTTATGAAGGTATGTGTAGTCCGGCCTCCTATTACGAAGTCCTGAATCCATTTAAGATATTTTTGTGTTCGAGTGTATATTCCGGGATGCCCTACCCTCGCACAACCTTCACCCCATGACGTCACTCCGACCAGTGTCCACTTGTGTCCACTGCTTGCTTTACATACAAGCGGACCTCCGGAATCTCCCTGAAAAAAAGAGTGTTTAAAGACTTTGAAGAGGAACGAAACTCAAACACATCGTTATCTCCCCTCAATGCATTAACAGAAACAGTTATCCTTGTCACCTTACAGTGACTTACCCTACAACTGTCCTTGTCACCTTACAGTGACATCCTACAACTGTCCTTGTCACCCTGCAGTGACTTAACCTACAACTGCCTTTGTCACCTTACAGTGATTTACCCTACAACTGTCCTTGTCACCCTGCAATGACTTACCCTACAACTGTCCTTGTCACCTTACAGTGACTTACCCTACAACTGTCCTTGTCACCTTACAGTGACTTACCCTACAACTGTCCTTGTCACCTTACAGTGATTTACCCTACAACTGTCCTTGTCACCCTGCAGTGACTTACCCTACAACTGTCCTTGTCACCCTGCAGTGACTTACCCTACAACTGTCCTTGTCACCTTGCAGTGACTTACCCTACAACTGTCCTTGTCACCTTACAGTGATTTACCCTACAACTGTCCTTGTCACCCTGCAGTGACTTACCCTACAACTGTCCTTGTCACCCTGCAGTGACTTACCCTACAACTGTCCTTGTCACCCTGCAGTGACTTTCCCTACAACTATCCTTGTCACCCTGCAGTGACTTACCCTACAACTGTCCTTGTCACCCTGCAGTGACTTACCCTACAACTGTCCTTGCCGCCGAAGTCATAACCAGCACACAGCATGTTATCCGTCACTCTGGAACCATAGAAGTGGCGACAGGCTGAGTTACGGTAGATTGGTAATCGGACTTGTCTGAGGACATCCTGATCACCTGTACCTATATCAAACAGGAAAAAAGAGGCTTATCCTGGTGTGTAAATTTAACTGATTATATTTCCAATCGCTCTTTAATGAAAAAAAAAAAGGTAAATTGGAATTACAATGTATTTTACGGTAAATGTCAACTACATGACTACGAACCTTCAGTTGCTCCCCATCCCGTAGCGTAACACCTGTGTCCACTTTCAAACTGTGTGTTGGCATCGCTCGGTAGACACACAGTGTTGACATGAGAGCTGTTCAGGTTTGCTGCCCCCACCAGGTGAAGGATTGCTATGTCATGTGCATGATGACCTTTTCTGTAGTCCTCATGAACTGTGACGCTCCGTACCCGAAAAGTCTGCTCCTGTTTTTCAGTTACGGACAAACGATGATCTCCCAAGACGACACGAATTTCATCCAAGCTTTGAAGGCTGTAAGATGAAGATCAGTGTAACCAAAATCGGAGAACAGTATTGTTTGCCATTTCCTTTAAACGATATGTTGATATTCATATTTATAGATATTTCATTAAAGTTATATATAATTTTTGAAAATGTCCATAACTGAATTTTTACATGTATAAATAAATATTAAATGGTGGCAATGAATATTGATTTGTTAATATATACTGCATAAAATTTTAAATGATAAATATAATTGTTGAACTACCTTTAGCATGGGTATGATATACAGGCAGTGATGGAGAAAAATCGCAGTATATATCTATATGTATGTTGTTTTTAAACCCGTACAGTAAGTTAGATAATTAAGAGAGGAATTTGTAGCGAAAAATGAGTGATTGTCTGTAAAAGATAAGATATATCTGTCATATCCGAAAAGTGTTGTCAAAATCTCTCTTTATACTAATGATTAACTGTGATAACTGAGATAAAGATACCTGTCATATCCTAAAAGTGTTGTCAAAATTTCTCTTTATTAGCAATCATTAACTGCTGAAAAATGAAACACATAAAGGTATATTTATTACCGAACTGATCATAATCTCGTGAAGTATTTTAGTAGTGTTTTATCGTGTATTTTATCAGATGTGGACACACGAGAAGGGCAGTTTTATTTTGATATTGTGATAATTTCTTTACAACTAAGTCTCTTTTCATTTCTTACAGTCAAACGCTAATGCAAAATGTACTGTAGTGAAATCGGCGTACCCTTAAGCTTTGGATGGACTTGTCGCATGTTTATCCTAATATACACGTACATTCGTACATTGTTCTAACGATACACCTTTATCTAAAGTTACAATCTTTATCATGTTTGATATTACTTTTACTTCGATACTCTTTGCTAAATGCATCTGCATTTTCATCAGAGTATATATATATATATATATATATATATATATATTATAGATATATATATGGATCTTTATGGATATTAATAACATGCATCTGCATTTTCGAGAAGTATATATATAATATATATATATATATTATATACATATATATATATATATATATGTGTGTGCTTTAGGTATAATAACAGCGTGCGTGCGAAATACTGTAACTAATGTGTGTGTGTGTGTGTGTGTGTGTGTGTGTGTGTGTGTGTGTCGCTACGGTAGATTTTATATGTGAATTTTATAAGTAAATATAGTATCTGTCTCTGAATTTAGAATAGTTGTAAATTTAGTAATTCAAGGTTAATTTGTGAAAAGCGAGGTCAAGACACTTTGATGTATAAAAAGTGCTATCGCACCATTTTTACGATGTAGTACTTTCGTTTGCTGTAAGTTTTGCAAGTGGTTCATAGTAGAGTTTGCTTATCTTTAAGATAAGGGTAAATGAATTATTAGAAGAGACATTTGCTGATTTCGAGTAAGCTATATTCTTCTATGACCTAATTGATAATATAGATAGTGTTATACCTGTCAAAACAATGTGCCGCGGTGATGACCCATTCCTCATGAATGAGTGTCCCTCCACAGAAGTGGTCATAACGCCCACTAGGTAGAATGACTCGAAGTGATATCTGCCAAGGCCAGCTCCCAGGATTGGCAGTTTGCCCACCAACAATCTTTCTTGACACGACCGGAATGTTCTGTATACCACAAGCTGAGAAAACAGCATTCCTGATAATATCTACCATTCCCCTGTTACAATGATTATTATGAAACAACTGTCCGAAGCCTTTAAAGGTTTTTTTCTATTATGTTTCCTTTAGTGCTTTTTTCCTATTTTTTCCTTATATAATACTTTTGCCAACCAAACCCAAAACATGCGATTGATTTTTTTTTAATTTAAAAAATATCTTTGCTCATAATTCAAAGTTTGTCGAATTATTTTTTGCTTTTTTGTTTTTGTTCTTAAAGAATCTTAAAACTTTATTTTTTATATATCATATTGGAATATGTCATCTAAATTGTCTGGCATACTATGTGCACTTAATTTGTTTGAAGTATTTACATGTGTTGTATAGAAGATTTGATAATATAGAAGTATCCTAATTCCCAGTATACACAATGTTATTTTTTAATTTTTAAATTTCTGTAATGTTTCTTGAAATATTCAATTTGTTGTCCCTCGTTTGATGATCTTAATATTTTGTAGTTTGGTAAGTGTTATCTAAAACTGATTTCAAATTTGTGTTTAAACATATTTTTTAAATTTGTTATCCACCATGAGATTTTCACATACATTGCGAAACTTTTTAAATATACATATCTAGCGGTACCTATTTATGGTTTTCTACCGGTACCCATATAATTATTTACAAAACATTCCAGTGTATTGCAACGTTTACCGTATTCAGAAATCCTTAAAGACTTTGCATACTAATCCACGTGAAATTAATACTGTTGTCTGTTAAATAATTCAACAAGCAGTTCATGGTCATTATAGACATGATAGCTGTTATACCAAACAGCACTTCTAGGGGAACTAAGTGTCTTTAGCACACATTTCTTTTTGTATTGTTTATACAGGTCAGGTACACTTACGTTTGTATGGGTAGCAGACGACACCAACATCCTCACTATGACGACAGTCATGGACAGCTAAACTGAAAAAGGGTATTCTGACATCAGACAAAATGCGACGTAAATGTAGATCTGAAGGACTTATAAGGTAGTCATGGCTGTACTTAAGATATAGATATAAATATATACAGATTCAATACTTACTTGTTTCTACGACAGTTCATCAGTGAGGTTTCGTTCCCAATACAGCTGACTTCGTCTAGCCAGATCTGTCCACGACCAGATCCGAAACTTTGCACAGACCGGGCGCCCCTGGCGACAGAACATAACCACCTTGTATAAGCTTTATGATAAAGTAACTAATATTGATGTACTAAGAATTAACACGTTTGTATTTTCAATCATGGTGAACAAGTCCTAAACAGTAACAAAACTTAGGCACACAAAAAACCCAAAGTTACATCTCGTAATTTGGAGCGCTGTCCCACTTTTGTACATCATGAACAAGTTAACTTTTTCTCATAAAAGACAATATTTGTTTTTCTATGTTTTCAAGAGCTTCACTAAATATGTCTTTACACACGTTTCGAAGCCGTTTGCTTTCCCTTTTCTCCAAATTTAAATCGTAAATATTTCATGCGGAAAAAAGGTTAAGGATTTGCAAATTTTGTAACATGTGCAATATCAGGAGGCCGTATGAAGATATAGTTACTCACTCGTATCCAAGATCGCGGCAAACAATGTTGGCTGCCGTGATATCGAACCCGTCATTACACACCGTGCCCCATATGTTGGCGTACTTGATTTCTAGTCTCCCCTCCCACGGGCCACCCCCGTTCATTAGACGGAACGGATCTGCAACCATTGGTAAACTGGTCGTCGCTGAAATGTTTAAGAGGTCCAAGGGCCTTAACGGTCACAAACGTTCAATAAAAGATTAAAAAAATCATCTTATGTCCATGATATTAACCAAGTTTAATTTATTTTAAAAAAATGTAATTTCATAATTATACCTAAAAAATAATTTTCTTTTACAAATTTTAGTAAGCTTTACTCCATCTTGGAGGAAATGCGACGACAACATGTCACCACAGTATGCAAATTTGGCAAATTACCCTAATCTCCTCCATCACCAACTTTTTAATTCTAACCAGTCTATGTCTTAAGAAGGATTGCAATATTTCAGTTAAATTGCCCCCCCCCTTTCTGGTATAACCCCTCAGGCCAATCAGTGTAATCAAGTGCATACCACTAAAGTATCATTACATACAAGTAATTCTTAGGGTGCAAATTGTTTTCAATAAAAATGTAAGAAATAATGATTTTTGAAATGTAATTTCCTGCGTAAACCATAATAAACTTTGTTCCCGAGAACAAATGTGAGGTCTTGGATTCATGAAATCTCAGGTTAATTTCATCCTCTTTGGCGCCGCTCATCAGTCACTGGGGTTATCCAGGGAGCGCACGCGCATACCATCAAATGGCCATCCCATAGAAATAGTTCCAATTGTGTTTTTATTACTTTCTATGACATGAAATTAGTCTCATCTCAGGCGACACGTATCAAATATTGCACAAACCAATATATATCAACATTTTTCAAAGTTTATCACCTTCTCTGACCTGAAAATTGACATCGTTTTTTTATAAATTTGACTTCAAAAGAGATGAACTGGGCAATGGGTTTGATTACATATGCGATTATTTTAGTACTTTGCAGAATACAGGGGCCTTACGTTCACATTGGTTTTCATCCGCATTGTCACCACAGTCATCCACGTAATTACACCGCCAGCGAGCAGGAATACAAGTATTAGACGTCGGACATCGGAACTGAGTCGAACTGCAGCGAGTGGACACTGTAACCAATGACAAATAATGATTTGTTACAATGGTTACACACAAAGCAGTTACAAATGAATTCTAAAAATAATGTACTGGTGATGGCACTGATGGTATATGTTATAGTAATCCACAACACCCTCTTGCAATTTCTATGATTCTTGTTTATTTATAAGTAGTTTATTACATTCAAAAAACCTAAATTTTACCAAAGCTGTCATTTCCATCAAATGTCTTTGTGTCGTTTGACGTTTCAAAATTTAATATTCCTAACAATTTTGAAAATATCACTCACCTGATGGACGCATAGGCCGAGGAACCTGACACTCGATACCTACGTCATCACTATGGGAACAGGTCTTATCTGAATGAAAATGTTCAAACATAAATAATTAAGCGGTCACGTCACTTGTGGGATTATTGTGTAACTGAAAAATTATATGTCGTTTTAGTTAGTTAAATTTTATATATTGTTACATTCGATGCACGTTTACTTTTTTCTTATGTGACGAACAACAGAAATATTTAGCGCGTAACACTCTATTTATAGAAACAGGTACATGTAATAATTGATATGTAAGTAAACGTTATCAAATCACCTATGGTTCTGGCACAGCGAGTAATAGCCGTCTCTCGTCCAGAGCATGCAATCCGCATTAGGTGTATGTGGTCAGTGCCTACGTCATATTGATCACGCTGAAAACATTTACATAATAATGGTTTTTGAATCGTGCTGCTCTTTAAACAAACATGTACAATATACGGGATGTTTTTTTTTCTTAAAAGATAATATCACCATGACACCCTGATATAACTACCTGTAATTGTGAAGTGACAACACCTGAAAATCCAAGATGTCGACAGGCCACCAATGCATCAGCGTCTGTCCATCCTTTATTACAGACCGTGCCCCACACACCATTGCCCTTGACCTCTAGTCTGCCACCGTATCTGTTTCCACCCACTAACCGTATTCTGTTCCATGCTAAAGCAACATAAACAACTACTTCAGATTCTGAAACGTGACGGTTCGGGTAATGCGTGTACCTTAATCGTGATCATATGAAGTGTGTTTACCGATTCTGCAAAGTTTGTTTGGAGGGAAAACAAAAATAATAAAATCCAAGATGTGAACTAAGGTCATTCAAAGAAATTTTAAAAAATCAAGTTAATGCGAGAACCATGGCATGTTTTTCCATCAAACGAATGAAAGCAAGAACAAAAACCCTAAAACAAACCTTTGAATGATATACTTTTTTCATTCATAGGTTGTGGTCGGGCCTCTAAGTATATGAAATATATCAACATCAACAAATGTTTGCGACGAAAAAGCGTAAGGGCAAAGTTAGAACACCGGAGCGGTTTACAGGGAGACCCTGGAAAGCACAAAGAGATTTAAAGCGGGTTTTCTGGAAGGTTAAACTTCACCTGATTCATCGACATCGATAACACCCGCCACATAGAGCGTCTCAGGAGGATAACCATCCCGAAAGGAACAAAGCCATCAGACAGACATCATCAACACAATCACCATACAGACATCATCAACACAATCACCAGACAGACATCATCAACAAACTCACCAGACAGACATCATCAACACAATCACCAGACAGAAATCATCTACATAATCACCAGACAGACATCATCAACAAACTCACCAGACAGACATCATCAACAAACTCACCAGACAGACATCATCAACAAACTCACCAGACAGACATCATCAACACAATCACATACAGACATCATCAACACAATCACCAGACAGACATCATCAACAAAGACATCATCAACACAATCACCAGACAGAAATCATCAACACAATCACCAGACAGACATCATCAACAAACTCACCAGATAGACATCATCAACACAATCACCAGACAGACATCATCAACAAACTCACCAGATAGACATCATCAACACAATCACCAGACATACATCATCAACAAAATCCCCAGTCAGATATCATCAACAAGGTAACCATGGGCTTTATATCGTAAAAAGAAATGATATACTTCCCATTGAGACCCTGATAAAGGCCATAGAACTCCTTTATAGCCTTATTATTACCTTTTTCTTTATTTTCTTGTTAGAACGTGTTTTAATTTTCTGTTTTTTGATGTCCATCCTCTGTGTGAAAAGACTTAACTGTTGTTTAGAAAAGGATAATGGTACGGACTTAATATACTTTAGACTAGCGGTATTATATAACCATAGAATTGTCTGTTTGCCAGTGAAACAGTTTTCCATAAAGGTCAAAAACGTTCTAAAACAAAATACTTTGATCAACTTGAACTTGAGCGTGAGATCGGCTTATCTGACATTGAGTGTCGGTCATTGTCCAAACAGAGACCTACCTACTGACAGAAATAGCTTCGCAGTTTGTGCTTCCGGTGCACTCAATGTACTCAGCTGATTGAAAATTCAGTCACGGCATTCATATCTAGATGATTAGATCTCTGACCACCATTACATGACCGAAAGAGTTGTATAATACATTTTTATATCAACAATTGGTTACAGCTATATAATTCAATGTGTGTTTTGACCAGTCAAGTTAATTATAAAGACATTGGGAAATATTAAATGGATAACAACAATGAATTTATGTTCTGGGAAATATTAAATGGATAACAACAATGAATTTATGTTCTTAGTTTTTATCCCTAAATGCTCTCTCTCTTATCATCCTAACATTAAATCAATGACGTTTTACTTTTGTGTTTTGCTTTGTAACGACACCAAGAAAAACATTAAGTTTCCCTAAACCATTTATTTTCAATGATTGTCGATACCCAGCATTTTCTAAGTCATACATTGAGTGTGATGTTTGTAATCAATCTGCATGTTACTTTCACCTTTTCTCATCATTTCTACTTACTACAATTGAAAATCGTACATTCGTACAAAATTTGATATCAAGTTTGATTTTTTTATACTTTTTATCTATAAATATAGACAGTATGTTGATAGTTGACGCGCAAGATCAATTTCTCACTCCACATTATTTATGTATTTGAAACATTTTGTTGAGTTTATTATCTGATAGGTGTCGTTCCAAAGTTCAGGTGCTGAAAATAATTATTGCCCTTCGAAAGCACCTGTTGTTCATGGGATTGTTTGTTATATATCACTGTTCCGGATACGTCCAAGACAAGTTGGTTAATCTTTTAAATATATTTTATTGAATAAATTTTGTTTTATTTCCGATGATACTGACTTTAATGGTAAGAACTGTAATTATCGTTGTGCGACAGAGATGCCTGGTGAATTCCAAAGAATTCCCTTTATATAGCTTATAAGGTGCATATTTGAGACGAATATACCTAACAAGAGTTTTGAAAATACTGAGTTCATATATAGTTATTGACATTTAACCACAACCAGCTTGTAACCAGCTTGAGTTCTCAAGTGATATTTCTAGCACCACCTGTTGTGAATTACTTTTCTGAAATGCACTATTAGAAAATGGTCTTTTAATGAATGAATGGATTTGTCTTACCAGTTCTAATTGTTTTATCCCATAAATCTGTCGTGTTGGTTAGGCCTTACAGAAATATATGAACAGGTAAATACAAATCAATTACGGGAATTCTCTTATTTAATTAAAAAAAAAACAATTAAAAAAACAAAAACCTTCCTTTTATGATTTTATGATTCCTTTATTAAGTTTTTTTTACCACAAACATATTTTATAATTATATAAATTTATAGTGCATTTAATAAAAGTTAAAACTACTTCGTTTTTAGTCCAGTTTGTCTTGCTGTTGTTATTTCATAGTTGAAGTAATTCATTCATATTCATTTTCACAAGGTCAAATTTTCAAAGACACTTAGAGATAAACCTCTTTAGGTCTACAGGTGTCCCTCTTATTGACACACCTTTTTGTTTGTAATTTTTTCATCCACCTGTAAACACGAGACATTTGTAGAATGTATGAACTATATACTTGATGATACTGCCTTTAACCAAGATCTAGGTTTCAATGATAGCTTTACGATTTCATCAATATCGCAAGTTCTAAGAGATTGTCTTACCTTCTGTTCGCTGGGCAGATTCGGACAGTCCAAAAACAGCTAAAATGAACACAATATTTACTTGCAAGGGATGCATCTCCTATAATTTCAAGTCACATTTACGTACAAATCTTTTCAGCATCAAACAGAAACTTAAACGCGCCTAAGTGGTTGTGTCCAGTTATAGATAAAAGTGAACTCGATGACACTGTGTACAGGATTGTTTGGACGAGCTTCACGTCTAGTGGTTATATGTGGACACGCAGACGTCACACTGTAAGTGACATATTACAAATTTTAAACCGTGGCCCATTACTTTGCCTTATTATCAGGGAATTGTATGCCAAATTTGTCGCCTACCTGGGAATTTAAGGGTGGGTATAAGAGATATGACGTCATCGTCCGGAAGGATTTTTGTGCCTGTTTTCTTCTATTACGTAGCATTACATTACGCCTAGGTTCAGAATACGTAACGTGATCAGTAATGTATAATTGATTTTGAATAATTGAAACTGAGATTCATCTTTTATAGTCATACTCCTTAGATACAGCCCATGTGCTGCTTATGTGCCTTTTTAGGGGCAATACCATCTGCCTTGTTGTGATGAAATTGTTTCTAGGCTAAAGACGAAAAAACGGTTCATTCTGCAATGCCCACCGCAGGAGGCAATATCAATACACACTATATTCACGTGTTAATATCTCAATGATTTGATTTCCGCCATGTCTAAAAATTTATTCTCCTTTGTGATATGAGTAAGTCCTCTTAATGCGAATGTTACTGGAGTCTTGATTTCGCTGTAATAACTTTCAGTCTCGCTTACCTGTATCAAACCCGACTTACGGTAAGTGTGCAATCTAAACGCCATCGAATTATTTTTATTCTGTTTACATCAGGAACTTATGGAAAAGATCTTTCATTTGGCTTTATACAATGTTTTATAACTATAATCTTGTGTTATGCAAACGAGTAAAAAGTGTTACTAAACAAACTATTGATTTGAAAACTTTTTAGTCTGTTGAAGAATATGGTGTAGAAATATCCTAGTGTTGTGTGTTTCGCATTCACGGAGTTCCAATAAACAATAAATAAATATATCTGTAAATGTTCCATCATCAAACATGATTAAGAGAAACTGTAGAAACACTTCCTACTGACAATAAATAATTTCTTTTTGGTTATAACAGTTTTCGGTAGAGATTAAGTCTTGTTAATCAAAATGTCCCGCACTCAATCTCTAGAAGATGACTCGATAAATGATAAACTGTATGATATGGATACAGAAACAAACTTCTCGCAGTTTAATGTCATCAATGAATTGACTTTCAGGGGGCATTTGACACTGTCTCGTCGAAGACCAGTAATTCAAATGCAAATACATGGTGCTATTAGCAACTGGAAAGCACTCTTCAAAACTCAGAAGTTTTGGCATCGATGCAGGATTTCTAGGGGTTTGAAGTCCTCAATATTAGCGATTCCACATGTTATAATGAAAGTCCGATATTTCATTTGATTTATGTAAATGACCCATTATTTGGATTGCACGTATTACTTTTCTCACAAACTATATTCCAAATTATTTCTCAACAATCTGAAAGATCAATACTTCTTCAAGAGATTTTGGTCTTATATTGTTTTCTGTTCTTGGTCGTTGATATTTCATCCATCAACTTTGGAGCATGTTTACGAGAGTACGGTAATTTCAAAACAATCTGACATTTGATCAATATAACTTCCATACTTTGTTTAAGAAGAATATCTTTCCTCGAAATATGTGTAACGAGATAGCTGGAAATACTCTGGACTTTGCTGGTCCGGATTACTTTCTCAGACAAACAACATTGAAAATCGACTAAGCATGCAAAGAGACGGCAATAAATCCATTTAATCCACAATAATAGTAATTGTATTTTGTATGTAGTATACGAACTCTTCGGTCAAATGATGTCCGTTAATATTGTGACATTTCTAGTGTTGTAGTCGTCTCTTTGAAATTTGTATTATATACTATTTACTTCAGAAAGTGTAGAGGTGTGGAACAAGATTTGTCCTCTGAGCTACATCGCCATACAAAAATACAATTTAAGACATGGCTTGATGTATACAAATGTAATTTACTAATGAGATCGCGTTTGTTGGCAGTGCCAGATCAATCGTTACAGTGATGCAGGTGGCGTAGGACGGAGAACATGGCAGAAAGTAAGTACAATAAAGCCACATTGATTCTACAGTATATGGAGATTTTACGTCTTACCTATGTATGTAGTCTAGCGATTATATCGTATTTATATTCATTGAAATAGTTTCCTGAAATAAGATTAATTATTTTAAAAAGAATTATTTCAGAATTTTTAGCATAGTTAAAAAGATTGAAGAATATATTATAATAAATGAATTTTATTTATTTAGAAAGGTTATTACGACAGGATAAAGTTCTGAAGTGCGGAGATGAACGCTCCACTTTACAACTCTAGTATTACCATTAGGAGTACTAAATTGGTGAAACTAGGATTTCTAACCTTTGCCATGTGACGATCAATATCTTTCATAATTGATAAAAATTGTAGGTCTGCACTACAGAATGAAAACGCGAATTACAATCGCCAAAAGGGTGGTTTTCTTAAGAGAAATGTATATATCATGTGTTATTGCTTCTGATCAATACATTTCACTAAAACCCCATCTATTATGTGTTCGTTTATTCATTGTTTAGATTATAGCGTTATGTGTCTTGTGGGTTCCCGTCTATTTGTGTGGTCAATGTTCGTATGTCTTGTATCTACCGTCTATTGGTGTGGTCAATGTTCGTATGTCTTGTATCTACCGTCTATTGGCGTGGTCAATGTTCAGCAGGTTTTATATCAAACACCTGTTGCTGTGGTCATTGTTCAGTGTGCGGCCAGTGTGTCTTGTATACGCCGTCTATTGTTGTGATCATTGTGCAGTGTGCGGCCAGCGTGTCTTGTATCCACCGTCTGTTGCTGTGGTCATTGTTCAGTGTGTTGCCAATGTGTCTTGTATCCACCGTCTATTGCTGTGGCGATTGTTCAGTCTGTTGCCAATGTGTCTGTTATCACCGTTCATTGGTATGGTATTTGCTCAGTGTGTCTTGTATCCACCGTCTATTAGCGTTGTCATTTCCCAATGCGTCTTGTTTCTACCATCTATTGTCTTTGCTCAGTGTGTCTTGTATCCACCGTCTATTGGCGTTGTCATTGCTCAGTGTGTCTTGTATCCACCATCTATTGTCTTTGCTCAGCGTGTCTTGTATCCACCGTCTACTGGCGTTGTCTTTGCTCATTCTGTGTTGTATCCACCGTCTATTGAGGTGATATTGTCCAATGTGTCTGGTATCCTCCATCTTTATGTGCGGTTATTGGTCACTGTGTCTTGCTTTAAGATAACTTTCTGTTCAGCTGTCTATTATTGTGTTGTATTTCAGTATTGTTCTTGTGTGTTCATTGTTGTAGATGTTGTTCTTTCCCAGCGTTTTCTTGTCTTCTTCGTCTATTAAAAATCTGTCATTAAATTAATGTTCATATATCTAGTGTAATGGAAAGTAACTAAGCTTTCTGTCGAATCATGGGTGATATTGGAGCTTAACAATGCTGATAAGTAGATGACAACTTTTTATTTATATTATCACATACTTTTCACATATGTACAAAAAATTTTTTTCATCTAATGTATTTATTTTATCAGATAATCATGATTTCCTATTACAGAAAAAATGTAGCCATTTATTTCAGCTCGAGAGACTCTGCGTTATGACATGTATGTTTTGTAAATGGAAATACACCAAGTTCGTGATACCATGGTATCAAGTTATATCGACTATGTTCTTAGGGATTAGTTATATCGACTATGTTCTTAGGGATTAGTTATGACGATATGGTATTGTTATACTGCTGGTTTCCTGTCAAGTAATCATTTATCGGTCTGAAACCTTTCAGTCTATCCATGAATTATTAGATAGGCTACATATACCAAGATATTAGCCTTGTATGAGCCAGCTAGACAAACAACCCCATACATCACCTATACACCGCCCTGTGCCACCAGTTACACAAATAACCCCATACAACACCTATACACCGCCCTGTGCCACCAGTTACACAAGCTACCCCATAAGATTAATAAGCCAGTGCCATTATGAAGGTATGGGGCAATTTTATATCTATTTAACAAAAAATGCTTCCAATGGAAAAAAAAAACATATAATCAACGAGGTTCTGAATCGCCCATTCCATGACTGATAGGACAACCTTTAACATCATCTAAGTATTTGCGTCCTACGAAGGTGTAAGGTTTAGTTACACGTAATGGTACTGAATATCAGAATTAAATAAATTTGAATCCGACACAGCGGAGTTAGTACAATATATTCAAGTACACTATAGTCAGATACAATATAGTCGGATACAACATAGAAATATTATAAAGGAGTCATATAGATGCAGTATAATCAAATACAACGTAGTCAGGACCAGCATAGTCAGATACAACATAGTCAGGACCAGCATAGTCAGATACAACATAGTCAGGACCAGCATAGTCAGATACAACATAGTCAGGACCAGCATAGTCAGGTACAACATAGTCAGGACCAGCATAGTCAGATACAACATAGTCAGGACCAGCATAGTCAGATACAACATAGTCAGGACCAGCATAGTCAGGTACAACATAGTCAGGACCAGCATAGTCAGATACAACATAGTCAGGACCAGCATAGTCAGATACAACATAGTCAGGACCAGCATAGTCAGGTACAACATAGTCAGGACCAGCATAGTCAGGTACAACATAGTCAGGACCAGCATAGTCAGATACAACATAGTCAGGACCAGCATAGTCAGGTACAACATAGTCAGGACCAGCATAGTCAGGTACAACATAGTCAGGACCAGCATAGTCAGGTACAACATAGTCAGGACCAGCATAGTCAGATACAACATAGTCAGGACCAGCATAGTCAGATACAACATAGTCAGGACCAGCATAGTCAGATACAACATAGTCAGGACCAGCATAGTCAGATACAACATAGTCAGGACCAGCATAGTCAGATACAACATAGTCAGGTACAGATGGTCATATACAACATAGTAAGATACAGATGGTCAGATACAGCATAGTAAGATACAGATGGTCATATACAACATAGTAAGATACAGATGGTCAGATAAAGCATAGTAAGATACAACATAGTAAGATACAGATGGTCAGATACAACATAGTCAGGTACAGATGGTCATATACAACATAGTAAGATACAGATGGTCAGATAAAACATAGTAAGATACAGATGGTCAGATACAACATAGTCAGGTACAGATGGTCAGATAAAACATAGCAAGATACAGATGGTCAGATACAGCATAGTCTGATACAACAAAATCTGATACAACAAAGTCAGATACAACAAAGTCTGATACAACAAAATCTGACACAACAAAGTCAGATACAACAAAGTCTGATACAACAAAGTCAGATACAACAAAGTCGGACACAAAATAGTCTGATACAACAAAGTCTGACACAACAAAGTCAGACACAGAATAGTCTGATACAACAAAGTCTGACACAACAAAGTCAGATACAACAAAGTCTGACACAACAAAGTCAGACACAAAATAGTCAGATACAACAAAGTCTGATACAACAAAGTCTGACACAACAAAGTCAGATACAACAAAGTCTGATACAACAAAGTCTGATACAACAAAGTCTGATACAACAAAGTCTGATACAACAAAGTCAGATACAACAAAGTCAGATACAACAAAGTCTGATACAACAAAGTCTGATACAACAAAGTCTGATACAACAAAGTCTGATACAACAAAGTCTGATACAACAAAGTCAGATACAACAAAGTCTGATACAACAAAGTCAGATACAACAAAGTCTGATACAACAAAGTCAGATACAACAAAATAGTCTGATACAACAAAGTCAGATACAGTATAGTCAGATACAACAAAGTCTGATACAACAAAGTCTGACACAAAATAGTCAGATACAACAAAGTCAGACACAGAATAGTCTGATACAACAAAGTCGGACACAAAATAGTCTGATACAACAAAGTCAGATACAGTATAGTCAAACACTGCATCGATGCGACGTTTCTGCTGCGATAAGGTCAGAACACGTCGCGAGTGCTTGACATTATAACAACATTAGGCATAAAGATTAGAACAGAGTGGTGTTTTCTGTATCTTTGTCTGTATGACTTTAGACATATCTTTGACTAATCGATAGGAACGTCGCCAAAACATGTTGATTAACACAGGTACGTCTGACTTGGAGTCACAATGAAGCGAGAGGTATCCAGACTGATATCAGTAGATGGTGTATCATGCAATGATTAACAAAGATCAAACGTCCAGTCTTTTGTCTTACTTACCAGACACTATGGACTTTGATATATTCAACATCAAATTTCTAAGAAAAATCATCACTACTATATACACGTGATGACTGAAACAGTAGAGCAACAATAATTACATTTATACCAATCACAAAAGTTAAAGTCACATTTTTAATCTAGATATTAATAATAATACTACATAATTATTGAAAAACGAGATATCCTGTTTGCCGTTGTTTGTGTGTTTGTTGTTCTAAATCTCCTCATCTCTCCCTACAGATCTGTCAACCCTCGATGGGTTGAATGTTATCGATGGACCAATGAACGAGTCGTTTACGCCAAACACTATATGGAGTGACCAGCACCCTCTGTCCGTCCATCCACACTGGACACAGTTTCCACCCGTCACAAAGGAATGGCATTACATCATCGGTGTCTTCATCACTATTGTTGGTCTACTGGGGATTACTGGAAATTCCATTGTCATTTATATATTTAGCAAGTAAGGAAACAGAATGTTATATTATTGTTTGATAAAAACAAAGGTATCTCTACCACGAGATAATATTTTAAAGTCTAGTTAAAGCTTGCCTTCTTATCCCCAATGTAATGTAAGTATCTCGGATAGTGTTTAACTATGGTTTGAAATATTGTTTAAACTGAAGTTAAGTACTCGGAATCAAGGTTTAGCCTCGTGTTAACTTTGCAAATATCTGGTTGAGATATAATTGTTTTCAGCACATATAGATATTTGATTACTGTAAGTCGTGAACTTAATACATCTGACATTATAAAAATATCCTATAGTGACAGAGCACGCTGCATAATATGGTGATACGACCCTATTCTTCTGAAGACATAACATATTTAATTATTCTTAAATCATAGAAGTAGTGGTCCACAAGTAGACAAATATTATAACAATAGTTCAGAGCCTTTGATTGGTTGCAGGGCTTCTGCACAGTATTTGCAGCGTATCTGCTGAGTTGTTGTGGAGTAGTTGCAGAATATCTGAGAGTTACTGGATCATCTGCAATTACTTTGCAACTGCCTCGCAACACTCCACCAGCAGGTAATCCTTGCAGACACTCTGCAACTAGTTCACAGCAACTTCTCTGCATATACTCTACAGCAACTCCGCAGATATCCCTTAAACACTCCACATATAATGTACAACCACTGCGTAGACGTTCCATAACCACTCAGATGCTTTAATCAATTGCTGTGAATCATTTGTACTTGTGGGCCACGATACATGCCTATTATGACAAGAAGTGTTCGTTCGCTATCTCTTTAAGTCCTATCTAAGGAAATTCGTGTTGTTTTAAAAATGTTGTTTAATACTAAGCTCACACCAAAGATGTATGGCCCAAAATAAACATGGCTGACGACAAATCAAATTAAATGAAACATTTTTTGCACACTTGCTTTATGTCAGAGCGAAAGCGAAAGTCTCCAGGGTATTCCTGTGATTGTTTCCTAATACCCTGATAAGCAGATTACAGACGTGTGACAATGTAAAACCAAAGCCGATGAAAATATCGCTATGATGCAGCATGATTTTGTTCACCAATAGACTAAACAAAGGCACGATGTGCAATAATCAGGAAATGTTTCTTTATCAAAAGTCATGTCTATTGTTCAATGCCATCCATCGCATATTCAAAAGATCCATAAGAATTAAGTAATCAGGGGAAAGGGACTGTAAAACCTGCATTTCGACAGCAAATTAACATTTCAGTTCATGAAGAGAATTAAAGATCGTTTCAAAGCTTAAGTAAAAACATACATACATTAACAATACAATAAATGAAGAAAATCAAAGACCGATTCAGGGCTTTTGTGAAAAAATGCAACACTACATAACAGTACAATTTAAGAAGAGAATTAAAAACGTTCATTACTTTAGCTAAAATACAGCATTTCTTCCTTCAAGCTTTTGCTAAACTGCCAAACAGCCATTTTGCAGTTTACGGTTAAAATCAGTTTATCACTTTCGTCATTAGTACCAAGGGAATTAATGAGTTTGGCCTTTCTGTTTAATGTCAAACAAACACAACATTGTGGCATGCTGAAGCTTATCTATATAGTAAAAAAGCTACATGAGTTCAACGGAAAGAGAGAGAGAGAGACATCTTAAAGCATTATTCATTATGTAAATCCGGACCAATGTACGATGTATCTAACTCCCGCGTACATGATATTGGCATATTATTAAATTTTGGAGGCCATGTCATTAACAATAGCAACTCAATAATTTTAATTTGACCCTGGTATTGTTGAGCAAGTCGTTTGCGATAACGTTATAAAGCCTTCAATCTTACCGTTTATATAGGCCGACATCATCACATAATACACCTACCGAGTTCAATGGAAGCAGGCGCCCACCCCTAAATCGCTCACAAACCATTGGAAGGTTAAACATATTTACAGTAAACAAGTGTATTAAGAAAAAATCACCGTTATATGTATGTACGATACAATCATCGAGAGGTAGACTGGCTTACGGCAATGTTCCGGTTTCTATAGATCGTCAGAACACAACTCGTCGTCAACTATACCGCCCTTCCACAGATGTTGTATGACATTTTGTTTATCAACGGAACCGGAGCGAAAAAATCAATGTTTAATTTACATTAGCAATGTTGTATAACTAAATCTTATGTAATTAAGGTTCGAGATATAGCCTATACTTTGTTTTTAAGATCTCTGATATTCTTTCTGTGTAAGAAAGGCTAATTTATTTTGTGAAGATCTTAAGTTTGGAATATGATCCCAGCAGTTTTTGTCGAATTAATCATTTTACATTTCTTTCTTGCTTATTGTGTTTTTTTCTGGCGTATTGTCTAAATATCTAACTATAATGATATCAATACTTTAAAGACTAATCAGTAGAGAATTACATTTTCTGTTTATTGATGAATACCATTCACACTATTAGATCAAAGTTTGTATCACACTGAGAATTATCAATTTTTATACTTCACTGGCACTTCAAATACATGTAATCACTACAAGTTATTTAATCTGATCAATTAGATCTTTGAACTTTAATTTTTTGATCCTGTATTGATTATATCGATTCTTTAAAACGCTTAGCTCACAACATGTCTGACAGGATTAGTGGGGTGATCATATGCACTGGTGTGACGTGTGTTTCTCACTCGCCTCCTTTAACAATTTAGACCCTTACTATCACTAACGAGTCGCAGAAGAACCATGATTCAGTTTAATTCACTTGGCTCGGTAACATTATAAGGGTGTCTTTCACCGCAACCCAAATGTGTCATTTACCTTATTTTGCACCTTTGTGACCTATTTTGCCCAAGGGGATGTTTAACACCAACTTGACTTATTCCCGGTCTGACCTACTTCCGTGCAAGGGTTGTTTTCACATATCCTCGGCCCTTAATTGGTCTAGCTCCCAAGTTGTCCTAGCCTAAGAGCGACCTACTTGTATCAAGGTGGTGTTTTCAACCCGAACATGGTCTAGCCCCAGAATGACCTTCTGTATTGTATTAAAGACACGGGATTCGTGCCATCCAGCATCAGTCTTCTTGGGAACAGAGAGCAGCATGAAACACATACAAGATAAGGTAAGTCTTATTTTGTATTGAATTGTGAATGTTTCAGAATTGCATCACCTCATGAAGACGTCCTATCTTTACATTTACAAAGTTAACAGTTGACTTAATGTTATTTGTCTTTATTCTTACAGATAAAAAAAATAACAGAAATAAAGGATGTGGAAATGACGGAACATCCGTTAAATGCCACAGATTAAACAAAAGGAGACTTTAGATATCCTCACTCGTCAAAGAAAAAAACCTTTCACAGTCCAATGAATCATTTGCAGAAGACATTGCTGGCTGTAACCGGAGATGGTACAACAAATACATGGGACGGTATTGAGATCGTGATATCTATCGTCAATGACACGTTGTGTAGCAGTTTCAGACACTATCCGTGCCCTAATGGGTATTACGTATCCTAATGGACTGAAGACAACTCATCAGCGGTAAACCTTCCATGCAACCAAATCAAGTCTGTTGTCTGCAACGTACTAAGGGTATGAAGAAAAAATCGGACAAAAGAAGAGGTTCTGGTAATAAGTTCGCGTATATGTCCGAATGTAAATAAAAGATTCAATGCAAATCACATGTTCTTATTTTGTTTGAATATAAAACCTCAACTTCACAAAGCACCAATCAGGCTTATACCTTTTAACGTTTAACTCATTGGTGAACTAAATTCAGCCACGTTTTGGACACGAGTACTATAACATGTCTCGTCATGAGATATGCGAAGACAATACTGATTCGCCTATCAAAGAAAACCTTGATGGGAAACAAAGAGTTAACTGTCTTTTACTTTCCTACCACTGTTCTCAGTGGTGTAATACAGAGTGGTAACAGGTATTTCACCAAACCATCTGATATATAATGTAAAAGTCATGTTTCAACAGCTAGAGTAAGGATAAGGCATTGTTGGGCCCCGGAGACGTCGTATAAACTAGTATAACCAAACAATAAGAGCTACAGACGAGTCCATCCCACCGAAGGGGATGCAGGTCGCTCCTTCACGTCGCCATAACACTGGCGTTCGTCGGTGAGACGATATCCGGACATGGCAGGAGTCGCGGAGACGGAAAACTTGTCAACCAACCCAGTTGTCAAGGTAGATTGGCTTGTTTGATGAGCTTTCTGTATATCGCCAACCATAAACATAGAAAGGTGATCGTATTATAAGTTACTAACCCGCAACAGGAAGTATTAGGCTTGATTGTTAAAGAAATATCCCAGTCAGAGCTGTTCATATAAAGAGGATGAGAAGATACATATTGGTCATTACATCACTAGCCAGACGTCGAGTCAGATAGGCTAAAAAGAAACCTTACTGAAACACATTGCGTAATTACATCTCCTCATGAAGCCTCCCTTAACTATAGTAAATAATGACAGTAAAATCCTTCACCTGTTAATGTATATTTTAGAGGACGAGTCTGTAACGTAAACAAGATTGTTTGCCTTTATTTTTGTAAATAGTACAGGGGTATGAGGATGTACAATGTATTACCTAAAGGTGGATGTTATTGGAACATCTCCCTGGCAACTAAACATTAAACTGTTGAAATATTTTTCCCTGACAATTCAAACAAAAATCAGATTGTTGAAATATTTCTCCCTGATAACTAAGACAAACATTAGATTGGTAAAATGTTTCTCCCTGACAACTAAAACAAACATTAGACTGTTGAAATATTTCTCCTTGACAACTAAAACAAACATTAGACTGTTGAAATATTTCTCCCTGACAACTATAACAAACATAAGATTGTTGAAATATTTCTCCTTGACAACTAAAACAAACATTAGACTGTTGAAATATTTCTCCTTGACATTAACAAACTGTTTGAAATATTTCTCCCTGACAACTAAAACAAACATTAGACTGTTGAAATATTTCTCCTTGACAACTATAACAAACATTAGACTGTTGAAATATTTCTCCCTGACAACTATAACAAACATTAGCCTGTTTAAATATTTCTCCCTGACAACTAAAACAAACATTAGACTGTTAAAATATTTCTCCTTGACAACTAAAACAAACATTAGACTGTTGAAATATTTCTCCTTGACAACTAAAACAAACATTAGACTGTTGAAATATTTCTCCTTGACAACTAAAACAAACATTAGACTGTTGAAATATTTCTCCTTGACAACTAAAACAAACATTAGACTGTTAAAATATTTCTCCCTGACAACTAAAACAAACATTAGATTGTTGAAATACTTCGACTTGAGCAAAACGTCACGACAGCCGCCTCAATGTCAAATTCAACAGTTCCGTCAACTTTTGGCATGGCTCACAATTATTTATGAATCTATCAGCAACAGACAAATACCGTCATACTAAATTCAAGTATTTCTGAACTTGACATGGTACTTTTCCAGTCAGGTTGTAATCATAAACCAGAGATTTTGTAGCATTGAGTCCTCGCTGTGGTAACATTTAATATCAACTGCAGCGTCTTATAACAACGAAAATTTGCGTTCAAACAAAATAGAACAATTACTTACCTGGCCCGCAGATCACTGAAACGGCGAACTATGTGAGTGCTGATTGTGTCGTTCTTTCTTCCTTAGAAGACAGATACTGGATGAGAAAACTCTCTGTCTTTTATACATTACATTAGATCAATCTGATACTAGGTCACGTTGGAGTTTCAAGCACCATCTAGGTCTAAGCAGGTTAGACCATAGCTAGGTCAGCAGGCTCGGTCAACTTGGGTTTAAAACATCACCTAGGTCTAAGTAGGTCGCGCTGGAGCAAAAGTGGGTCAATGTCAAGTTGGAAGTGGTGTTAGAGAGACCCTTAGTTCATTATGAAATACGCAAAAATTGGTTTATATTGTATACAGTGTATGATATTTGTGTATTATGTAAGAACGGAGAAAAAAATGATTATTTTTTGCAGCACGAAGAGCCTCCGATCACCATCGAACTTACTAGTGGTGAACCTAGCTGTCAGTGACCTCATTTTCTCTGCTTTCAATGGCTTCCCGCTACTGACTGTGTCCTCCTTCCACCAGAAGTGGGTGTTTGGATCCCTGAGTGAGTGATTCAGAGTACATATACATTTGATGTTCTTTTCAAAAATTCAATATTCAAATTTATGACTTTTATTAAATTTAGTGCTCCTCCCCAAATGGTTTTGACATTTATCTCAATCTTCTTCAGTCATCAATGTCTCAACAGTTTAAGCTCTTAGCGTCACTGGGGAGCCATAGAAAGACTAAACAGCTATGCGATCCAGTTTAATTCATTGCTTGAATCTACATTACCTTATTCGCTTGTGTGTCTTTTGTCCGCCCTAACATCACTGATGCGTCCTAGAAAGCCGAAACAGCTGTAAGATGTACTTAAGATTTAGTCATTGGGCTCTTCTGTATCTGATTCTAAACTTGTATCGGAGGGTACTATTCACTTCTTTGTCTTCGGCTTAATCAGCAGTTCGAAAAGCACTTTCAGAATAAAAGATTATATGAATTATACTGTATGAGACCCCGGTTACATATCTACTGTGGCATTATGGTTCCATAGAAATAAATAATAATGCGAGAAACAGCTTAAAGCAATAAAACCAATACAAATTATGCTTGTGTTTATTTTACTCAAAATACGGTTCGTATGTAGTAAATGACACAAAATACCTGATATTGATTTAGTAAAGATCTGATGTCTTGTATTGCAGCCTGTCAGCTTTACGGTTTTGTGGGAGGTGTTTTTGGACTAATGTCCATCAACACCCTGACAGCTATCTCCATTGACCGGTATATCGTCATCACCAAGCCGCTACAAGCATCACAGACCATGACAAGACGCAAGGTGTATCTTATGATCCTTCTGGTTTGGGCTTTGTCCATTCTCTTGAGTGTCCCACCATTCTTTGGCTGGGGCGCCTACATTCCCGAAGGTTTCCAAACGTCATGTACCTTCGACTATTTAACAAAGACGACCCGGACACGAGTATACATCATAATTCTGTATCTATGTGGATTCGCTCTACCACTGCTTATCATAAGCGTATCTTATATATTGATCATCTTCGGTGTCTGGAATCATGACCAAAAGATGCTTACTTTAACCCAGAACATGAATGCAGAAGACATTCGGGTAAATAATAAGAGAGCTCGATCGGAAATTAGGATTTCCAAAATTGCCATGGCCATCACCTGTTTGTTTATTTTATCTTGGAGCCCCTACGCTATCATTGCCTTGATAGCACAGTTTGGACCTGCGCATTGGATAACACCATTGGTGTCAGAACTCCCCGTGATGCTCGCGAAGTCAAGCTCCATGCACAATCCGCTTGTATATGCATTCAGTCATCCAAAATTTCGCAGAGCACTTTATCAGCGGGCCCCTTGGATGTTTTGTTGTTGTAAGCCGGCGGATAAGCCTGATTTCCGAACCTCAGTCAGCTATAGGAAGCGAGAAGTGACTCGCACGGAGAGCAACAACAGCGACGTATCCAGCGTTCTCAGTAACTTTAGCGAATCGACAACAACGACGGCAATGAGTTTAACGGAGAGAAAAATGCCGGAAGAGGCGACGCGGGCCAACAGAGACAGGTCTTTCGGCAGAAGTGTCTCCGTCATAAAATCAGATGATAATTCTCGCTCTTATCCCGCCATGTTTTTATTGGCTTATCAAGTAGAAGTGGATACACTTCTTGATATCACTCAAGATCAAGGCAGACGGGATTCCAACTTAAATTCCTTGTATATTCCTACACGAGTGCAACATGGACCAACAACCCAGGCACTCGGAGCGCCTCCAGGTGATATTTACGTCTTGAACAATAATGAGCGGGTGGGTCTAGGTACTACTTACCTTTAACAGCTGACGTCATGAAATGACGTTTATAGTGACATCATCTGAAACCATATGGTGTCAGTCAACCGAAAGTGAGAAATCATTAATGAGGTGGTCTTAAAAACAGACACACCGACGTCACCAGGAACAGCTGCATACATGATCATACATATACAACAGGAGCCTTTCGATGATAAATGTGTAACTTCATGTTTCCGCGGGACCAGTATCCCAAACACTTGTGATTCTAGACAGCAACGAACTTTGTACATTACGCTGTGGACTATATATGCCATTTTCCCCATACGCTTTTGAAGATTCTGTAATCATTCTGGAGTTTAGAATGGTCATCGACATACTTGAGACGGGATTTACTAAATGTAGATTATTGAGTTGAGGACTCTGAGATAATGTTTATTTGTTAGTTGGTAGGTTGGTTGGTTTTCATAAAAAATTATTTTGAAGTAGTGCAATGTATATGTATTACATTTTGGATGGAAGTTTCATTCATTATGTTGTAGATTGTGTTGGGCAGGTTATTTTTGCTATACCAATGGGTTTGTCTTCCGATGTCATCTTGAATTTTGATATTGTTGAGAGTAAAAACGTGCGTAAACTCATAACATTCTTTCGAGTTGTTATTTAGCTATTTGCTGAGGTGGACCTTCTTGCAAAGATAGTAGGCTCAAAGAGGGGTGTTACAAAAGCATATATTTATAGTTATATGAAAAGTACTAGCGAAATAGTTGATAACCCAGTATACTCAGTTTATATCCGTTCTACATTTGTATTACACCTGTTTCGATGTCACTTTCAGTCGTTCCCTTAGGATTATGTATTTGGTCAGGATAGGAAGTATGTTTGTTTGAATACAAACTCTTTTTAGTAAAGAATATCTTCTAATCTACCTGAAAACCAACCGTCCTTCTATTTAGGCCACGCCCACGCCACTTTTGCCACGCCCCCGATCCTTACCGAAATATTTCAACCCTATAAGATACATCAGAATTATTATCAGTTATGAACGTTTGTGCTCGATATAGACGAATAGTAAATGATTGATTCGGGATATATTTGGAGGTAATACATGCATATATCGTCTAAGAGAAATGTTGATACAATGTTAACGGAGCAGTTGGTTTGTTTCGCGTGGGAAGAAAATAGCTCTTAATTTATATGCCGTTTATCAATTAATTCGCAGAAAATGATACACATACCTGTATTACAAGTATTATAAAGATAGAAACAGATGAAGTTATATCGTAAAGTCGTGGACTGTAGCATCAATACCTGTAGTCATCTTGTGAATGATACATCAGGCGAACTTGATATTTATTTCAACAAGTGTTATACAAATCAATGGCGGTTTAATTAGTTGATGGAAAGTTCTATATTTATACATACATAGAAAATCACCATTTTATTTACGTAATGAAACAGCATCTGGTCACACACATGAGTTAACCAGTTCAGTCGTATATTTGTACTGATCTACAAGTACAGCTAATTAAGTCATCCTTGGAAATCTTACGGAACACTGTACTAGAAAATATGCGTATAAAACATTAAAACCCTCTGTGTTTAATACATACCATAAACCTCAAGACCACTCGTCCATATGTATTAACTGTAAAAATACTAAATAATATATTTTGTGTAAAACATATAAAGTCGGGACTAAGTATAAAACAAGGAATGTTGCCAAATGACAAAATTTGAATACATGTGTAGGATATCGTTATGTGGGACAAAGTCAACAACGGAATGATGTCCTTGGGTTAAAAAGTTAATATCGCATTGTCGTCATTTGTCGCACAGATTTCTTCATGTTTCCGACTGCAAAAACGAAATGCCACAATGGGTCGTCCGTAATCGTCATTTGTCTGACTGGAATATCGTCATATTAGTACGTTTTATCATTTGCGGCACTATAAATATTACATTTTGTCATGTGTCGCATTGTATTTTAATACTGGAAATACGGAGTGTCGTCATGTGTCACAATGTAAATATGGAGTGTCATCATGTGTCACACTCTACATATGGTGTGTCGTCATGTGTCACACTCTAAATATGGAGTGTCGTCATGTGTCACACTCTAAATATGGTGTGTCGTCATGTGTCACACTCTAAATATGGAGTGTCGTCATGTGTCACACTGTAAATATGGTGTGTCGTCATGTGTCACAATCTAAATATGGAGTGTCGTCATGTGTCACACTGTAACTATGGTGTGTCGTCATGTGTCACACTCTAAATATGGAGTGTCGTCATGTGTCACACTGTAACTATGGTGTGTCGTCATGTGTCACACTCTAAATATGGAGTGTCGTCATGTGTGTCTAAATATGGTGTGTCATCATGTGTCACACTCTGAATATGGTGTGTCATTATGTATCACACTCTAAATATGGAGTGTCGTCATGTGTCACACTCTAACTATGGTGTGTCGTCATGTGTCACACTCTAAATATGGAGTGTCGTCATGTGTCACACTCTAACTATGGTGTGTCGTCATGTGTCACACTCTAAATATGGTGTGTCATCATGTGTCACACTCTGAATATGGTGTGTCATCATGTGTTACACTCTAAATATGGAGTGTAACCATGTGTCACACTCTAAACATGGAGTGTCGTCATATGTCACACTATAAAGATGGAGTGACATCATGTGTCATGCTCTAAATATGGAGTGTCAACATGTGTCACTTTGTAAATATGATATTTCGTCATATTTCGCACTGAATTTTTAATATGGAATATCTTCAGGTGCCACAATGTAGATATGGTGCAATGTCATGGTTCGCACTGTGAATATAAAATTTCGTGACTTACTTACTTAGCGTGGTTTTCTGATACAGGACTAGTTGTCCTCTACACCAGACTTGTCGCATTGTTTTAATACGTAATTTCGCCATCTGACCCACTGTAAACACAAAGATTCATAATGTGCCGCAGAGTAAATATGACATGTCGTCATATGTCGCATTGTATTTAGATACAGAATATTGTCACGCGTCTCAAGGCAATTTGGGCTGTTGTCAGGTGTAACACTTTAAATACGAAATGTCATTAGTACATCGCACTCTAAGTTTTTATTGTGCATATTACCTTGAGATTCTGATTACTTTAATAATACAATGCCATCCATTCCTCTTGAAATATCGCATATTACGGAGAATTGCAAAGAACAAAAATTCAAAGTCTAACCTGTTGAGTTACCCATGGCTTTATGCAACCTAAGGGAGATAACTCCAAAACGCTTTGTCAACACAAATATGATCGCCTGTATGACTGGAAGAAAATGCTCAATTTCAAAATTTTTAATTTTTTTTTATTTATCTATTCATCTTTAAAGATATATCTATGTGACATTTTCAATACAAGATTTTGCCAGTATATCCCAAGGGAGATGTTGGTATTTATGACCAGATTAACAAGTGGCGACATTATGAGGAAAGCTCCATGTATTATTATTGATTTGTATCCTTTTTGTTATCGGGGCAGCCCAATATTGAGTAAGCGTTGCATTTTTTCACAGTCTATCCAATAGCCTCATAGTACAAACGGACGTAGCAGAAGGATGTAATTACTTCCCGGTATTATCATTTGATAATTAGTTATGTTTACGTCAATAAATTCCAAATCCCAAATCCTCTGTAAATCAAGGAGTCGTCCTAATGAAAAAGATAGAATCAATGACATGACTGGTATATCATCTATAAGTGGGCGTAGGTTTCATAGGAACACATGGACACTGGCGTCTACTCAACTGTAGGTCTTATAGGAACATAATAACACTGGCGTACTGTATGTCTTGTAGGAACACATGGGACACTGGTGTACTATTGCGCTGTAAGTCTTGTAGGAACACATGGACACTGGCTTACTAGTAAATGTATGTCTTTTAGGAACACATGGGTCACTAGTGTACTATTGAACTATTGGTCTTAAGGAACACATGGACACTAATGTATTACTGGACACTGGGTCTCACAGGGACACTGACGTATTACAGGACCGTCGGTCTCACAGGGACACTGACACATTACAGGACCGTCGGTCTCACAGGGACACTGACATATTACAGACCATCGGTCTCACAGGGACACTGACGTATTACAGGACCATCGGTCTCATAGGGACACTGACGTATTACAGACCGTCGGTCTCACAGGGACACTGACGTATTACAGGAACGTCGGTCTCATAGGGACACTGACGTATACAGACCGTCGGACGTATTACAGACCGTCGGTCTCACAGGGACACTGACGTATTACAGGGACACTGACGTATTACAGACCGTCGGTCTCACGACACTGACGTATTACAGGACCGTCGGTCTCACAGGGACACTGACGTATTACAGGACCAACGGTCTCCTAGGGACACTGACGTTTTACAGACCGTCGGTCTCACAGGGACACTGACGTATTACAGACCGTCGGTCTCATAGGGACACTGACGTACAGACCGTCGGTCTCACAGGGACACTGACGTATTACAGACCGTCGGTCTCACAGGGACACTGACGTATTACAGGACCGTCGGTCTCATAGGGACACTGACGTACTACAGACCGTCGGTCTCATAGGGACACTGACGTACTACAGACCGTCGGTCTCAACAGAGGCACTGACGTATTACAGACCGTCGGTCTCACAGGGACACTGACGTATTACAGGACCGTCGGTCTCACAGGGACACTGACGTATTACAGACCGTCGGTCTCACAGGGACACTGACGTATTACAGGACCGTCGGTCTCACAGGGACACTGACGTATTACAGACCGTCGGTCTCACAGGGACACTGTATTACAGGACCGTACAGGGACACTGACAGACCGTCGGTCTCACAGGGACACTGACGTATTCGGTCTCACAGGGACACTGACGTACACAGACCGTCGGTCTCACAGGGACACTGATGTATTACAGGACCGTCGGTGTCACAGGGACACTGACGTATTACAGACCGTCGGTCTCACAGGGACACTGACGTATTGCAGACCGTCGG